CAGGCCTAAGCCATTAGTTGGAAATCCTTAGCACTGCTGTGGAGGTGGGAGAGGCTCCCACCACTACCACTAAGCTTCCCATCCATGAGCCTGGCTTCTGGCTGAGCAGCACTCCCCCTGTGGGAGCTCACTGACCACCAGGGGGTATCTCCTGTGTTAAGCATCTGCCCCCTGGTGGTGAGTGTGAGTCATAGGGATCTGTTGTTCCGCAGTTCTGTCGATTTGCATATTAGCCTTTTATTACATAGAATATATATATATATATATATATATATATATATATATATATTATATATATACTTATATATCCTTAAAATACTCAAAGCACTATTACTGTGTAATACATATACATATATATATATACATATATATATATATATATATATATATATATATATACACACACACACTTATTTAGAAAGAATAATAATAACTGTATTTGCAAAACATGACCACATACACAATTGTTTTTAGTCCTGGAAGAAAGATGATTAAGTGTACTTAATACCAGGAGAGAGGGTGTGTGTCTGCATGATTAATAATTTTCTTTTCATTTCATATGTAGAAGAAAATTTTATACATTGAGGCTTTATTTATTTCCATTTATTCCAAACATGGAAATTTTTTTATTTGTTTTATATTTTTTTAATATATTTTATTGATTTTTTACAGAGAGGAAGGGAGAGGGATAGAGAGTTAGAAACATCGATGAGAGAGAAACAACCACTAGTTGCCTCCTGCACACCCTCTACTGGGGATGTGCCCACAACCAAGATACATGCCCTTGACCGAAATTGAACTTGGGACCCTTCAATCTGCAGGATGACACTCTATCCACTGAGCCAAACCGGTTAGGGGTAGAAAATTTTTTAAAAACCTTAGTATATTTTGCATAGCAAGATAAAGTAATATTAATGAATAATTTTTGGAAGTGTTGGACATAGTGGGTTTTAGCAGAGGGTGCCCCAGTTAGCAATGACTAGCTCCAATAATAGACTAATTAATGACAATAGGATTCATTGGGAATGGCTGATATTGGGAATATTCTTGTTTTAACTAAAATAGAAAATTGTGATATTCAGATATGTATGTAATCCATATTTTGCTTTCTTTTAAAATGCATTAGGTTTAGACAATAAAAAATAAAATAAAATGCATTAGGTTTTCTTCAAATAAATCATAATAATTACATCTATCAGGGAAGGTGAAACACATTTTTATTTATTAAAATTCTGTGTTCACTGCTGTAAACAAATTTTCCTTTGTAGTAAATAAAAATAATAATAATGTCATTTCCTTCAAAAGAAAATAAATTTTGATGTTTATTTGCTGTGTTCAGTTTCTAAGACTAGAACATTGAAAGGAGCCTAAATTAAACTAAAACTATTTGCTAACTCCAATGGAGAAAATAGTACTGAGAAATTTATTTACTGTATTTATTTGTTCTTTAAAAAATACATGATTCTACAGATATCAAAAGACATATCGCATTAATAAAATTATGTATACAAGTTATGCTATTTGTGGAGGACTGTAATAATGCTAGAAACTACAATGTACAAAAGACTGTATTATTCAGCTCTACAGAAGTAATTATATAAAGATTTTTCTATTGTCCCCATAAATGGGCTATAAAATCACAGTCTGCTTTTTGGATAAATTCCTTTCTCTACAGTATATTTCAATAAATTATAACTAGGAATGCAATATAACTGTTTCAAAGGACAAAATGTTTGAACAAGGATATAGCCTTAAAATACTCAAAGCACTATATCTTACAAATTCACATATGTGTAAAAAGTAATTATGCATATTTTAAGTTTTCCAAAAACAAGCTCATAAAGTTACTTTCTCCCAATACCCATTTCGATAATGTACTTTTTATTTATATTCCTCACCTGGGGATATGTTTTGAGAGAGAGAGAGAAAAAAAACACCCATGTGAGAGAGAAACATTGACTGGTTGCCTCCTTTATGCACCCCAACCAGTGATTGAACCTGCAATCTGGGTATGTGACTTGACTAGAAATTGAACCTCCAACCTTTAGGTGCATGGAAGGATGCTCCAACTGAGCAACCCGGCCTGGATTCCATAATGTGGTTTAAAAAAGGCAGTCACTATATGTAGCCCAAATTTAAGGAGTAGAGAGTCATGTTTCATCTCTGAAGTGCAAAGTATTTGCATACATTATTTGAAATTATTCTGTACATGAGGTGTATCTATTGTTCCCGAATTTTTTATTCAATCATTTATTTTTATCAGTGTTAACTCATGGATGATTATTTTGTATAATAATTAAATACTAATTTATATTCTTCTCAAATTATTCTAGCTTTGGTCATTAGGAGTACCTTCAGTTTGCTCATGTGTCCCTTTGACATACCGTCATGATTTTGTTTTTTGAGTAATTCCTTGATTTGTGGTATTACAATATTCTCCACACTTATTTGTACATGTGGTATCCTTGTCTTAGAATCAATTAAATCTCCAAGGAGACCTGATTCCTTTTATTGGAGGATAGCATTGGGGAAAAAAAGATCTGGGCATCAGGCAAACATTATGCTAAGTGAAATAAGTCAGTCAAAAAAAGCTAAGAACAATGTGATTTCACTCATACATGGGTCATAAAACTGAAACTCATGAGCACAAATAGCAGTGTGATAGTTACCAGAGGAAAGGGGGTGGGAGGAGAAGAAGTCCTAATATATGGTAACAGGAGAAGATTTGACTTCGGGTGGTGGGCAAAGAGTGAAATATACAGATCTTGTAACATATCTATAATTATAATGCTAAAAAGTACAATGCATAAAAACACTGCATTATTCAGCTCTACAGAAGTAATTATATAAAGATTTCTAAAAAATCTTTTAAAAATATACCTACACCAGAAACCTATATGTTCATTTTGACCAATATCATCCCAATCCTATATAATAAAAGGCTAATATGCAAATTGTCCCCTCCACCCGGAGTTTGACCAGGAGTTCAACTAGAAGTTCAACCAGGAGGCGGGACTGGCAAGCAACTGCCTGTAGCCCCTCCCCCAAGCCAGCCCTGACCCTGAACACCCTCCCCCACAGATCAGGGGTGGGGCTGTCTGGCCAACTGCCTGTGGCCCCTCCCCCCAGCTGTGCATGAATTTGTACACCAGGCCTTTAGTAAATTTAATAAAAAAGTAAGTAAAAAATAAAACAATTTAAAAATAATAATTATTAGACTATTCTGTATGTATCTTTACAATTGTATAATTAAATATGCATTGTCATCCTATCTAATCAAGCATTACATAATATTGTCTATTGTATGGATTTTACATATATGTGTTACAAAATTATTTAAAATTACAATTAAACACTTGATGATTTCTTATTTCTGTCAAACTGGTATTTATATGACATATCTCATTTAATCTCTATTCAACTCAGTGAAGTAGGTGTAGTCTCAACTTCATTTAACAGACAAGAAAACTATAATGAGATTAAACAGATGTAAAATATTTGAAATTAGACATGTAATCTTATATTTTTATTAATAATTATAAGAAGACATTTTCTAAGAAAATTAGGTATACCTTTTAAAAATATCTCACCAGGCCAGTGTGATAAGTGGTTATAGCATCAGCCCATGAACCAAAAGGTTGTGGGTTTGATCCCCAGTATTGGTCAGAGTACATGTGGGAGGCAAGCTATGATGTGTCTCTCTCACATAGATATTTCTCTCTCTGCCTCCCTCTCTGTTTCTCAACCCCTCCCACCATCCCTCCACCCCAGCTTTCTTCCTTCCACTCTCTCTTGAAAAATCAATGAAAAAAATGTCCTCTGGTGAGGATTAAAAAATATAAAAATAAATAAAATAAAAAAATCCAAATTGATTGTATTTAATTAAAAAGTAAGGTGGTTAATTATGTAAGTCAAGTTCACTGAACTACTGGGTACCCAGATTTTGTCTGTGTGTCTGTGAAATTGTTTCTTGATGAGATTAGCATTTGAATCAGTGAACTCAGTAAGGTAGCTTGCTCTCCCAGTATCTTTTGGCATCAGCCAAATTTGAGAGGCTCTGAGTAGAAAAAAAAGTGAAGGAAGGGAGGATTTGCCCTTTCTTGCCTGCTTACTTGAGCTGCATTGGTTTTCTTCTGTCCTTCAGCTGTGATTTACAGCATTGGCTTCCCCTGGTTCCTAGGCCTTTGGACTCAGAACGGAAAGACCACTGGCCCTCCCAGGATTTTAACTTGCAGATGGCAGAGTGGGACTTCAAACACCTTGCAATTGTGTGACACAATTTCTAAGAGAGAGAGAGAGAGAGAGAGAGAGAGAGAGAGAGAGAGAGAGAGAGAGAGAGAGAGAGAGAGAAAATTCCCATTGCTCCTGTTTCTCTGGAGAACCATGACTGATAGTTTTAAAAAATCTATAGCTTAGAAAATGATACTAAAGTTTAAAGTATTCAATGATTTTTATATACTAGTTCGCACAGTAATTTATCAAATATCCATTTGATAAGGCAACCATCAATTTATTTATTTTTTAAAAAAATATAATTTCATAACTTAAGCTGAAAAAGTATAATCAAAGTTGAAACCCAATAAAAAGTATATGCTAATGGCAACTATATTTTAAACCAAATATAGCTACTTCCAAAAATTAAATAAATGATTCTATTATAAAACAAACAAAACCTCACTGATTTTATGAGAAATTAAATAATAAGAAAAGGTATTTTAAATATAAAGTGATAGGGTGATAATACATTTCTTACTTTTCAGTGTATCATTTTGTTGTAATGGTGGCCTCTCAAATAAAAAACTAAGGTAAGTTATTATAGTGGATGGAAAAACAAAGCTCATTTAACTCTCTGTAAGGGATAATTAGTTGGCCACTTTAGGAGCTGACTTTAAGAAAATGAAGGACTAATAATGTTGTTGGAAGACTGAAATGAGTTCAGACAAGAGACAGATATGCTTTTTAATTATGTTTGCTTGTCCTTCTCCCTTGGTGATCATTACCTTTAAATGGAGCCACACAGTGGCAGAAGCAATTCCCAGGTTGGTCAATGCAAGTAGCTCCATTCTTGCAGGGATGGGAAGCACACTCATCTGCATCTATCTCACGTTTTGTACCTTCGAAAAATAATAACCTCAGTTTTAAATGACAAGCAGATTCCAGGTTATAATTCTTAAATTTCTACTTGGGGTGGTATCTGAGACTAAACTCATCAGATAAGAGTATCACATACATTAGTGTCAGAACCCATTTATTTCACCTTTCTAAAAACTGCAACAACTTCTCTTGAAAGCACATCTGCAAGCTAATCTGAGTAGGTAAGCATTCAAAGTCTGCTCAGATGTGAACTAATTTACCTTCTACTTTGGAGTCTAGAGATGGAATAGGATGTTTCAAGTTATTGGGATTCAAATCAAATGTTAGGCTAAATAAAATTAAAAAGGAACAAAAAAAAGATATACTACTGAATCAATAACTTCCTCATGTAATTCCCAGTGCTAGGTGATCTTTACAAGGCACAAATGTCTAAAGTTCCTTACCAATAAAGCCAGGGAGACAGATGCATTTGGATTTATCCATGAGCTCTATAGATGTAGTGTTATGGAGGCTGGGGATAAATTTCTTTCCATTAATTTCACAAAACAGGCCTACATGGGAAGAAAGAAAAACAGAAATGTCCATTATCTATAGTCTTAATGGTTTCTTTTAACTAGTTCTCAATGCAGATCTTCCATTAATGCTCCACCTATAATTGTGTTGCCATAACTACCCTTTCATATCATATCACTTGGGTTGTTCCTTAATTTGCAAAGTGCTGAAAACAGCCTAAATGGACATGGAATTAATTCTTAAAACTTATGACAGCTAATTTTTTTGGTCAATTTTCAACAAGGATAGACAAATTTACACATTATACTTACAAACAAGATAAATGGAAATTTTCTTAATAATCTTAATATTTTTCTCTAAAATAGTTAAATGAATATGGGCTGGGAAAAATTAATGTAATATACACCTAAATAGGAAAAATCATACCTAACTAAATAGGAAATCTATTTTTATTGCTATAATCTACACTAATAAAAGAGAAAAATGGTAATTGGCGTACAGCGCTACACTTTTCATTGGCTAATCAGGGCTATATGCAAATTAACTGCCAACTGAGATGGCAGTTAACTGCCAACAAAGATGGCAGTTAACTGCCAACAAAGATGGCGGCTAATTTGCATATGTAGGCACAATGCAGGGAGGCGAAAGGGAAAGCAGGAAGAAGCCCCCTGCCACTGACTGTGATCGGAAACCCAGGGGGGAGCTAGGAGCTGGGGGGCAGGGCAAAGGCGGCCCCAGGGCCGCCTTTGCCATGCCGCCCAGACATGATAGGAGAATCAGGCGCCTTTGCCGCCCTGGCCAGTGATAGCAGGAAGTAGGGGTGGAGCCAGTGATGGGAGCTGGGCACGGTCGAAGCTGGCAGTCCTGGGAGCTAGGGGTCCCTTGCCTGGGCCTAAAGCGGAGCCCACGATCGCGGGGCCGCTGCAGCTGCGGGTCCCCGCTGCCCGAGCAGGAAGCCTCAGCCAGAGGCGTCCTGCAGGGGCAGGGGCGGAGCCCACGCAATCGCGGCGCCCCCCGCTGCCACTGTGGGTCCCTGCTGCCCGGGCCGGACGCCTAGGCCAGAGGCGTTAGGCCTGGGCAGGGGCGGAGCCTGCAACCGCGGGGAGCTGGGGATCCCCTAGCCCAGGCCTGACACCTCTGCTGGAGGCCTCAGGCCTGGTCAAGGGGCCGATCCAGTGATTGGTGATTGGAGGGTGATGAGGGTCAACTCCTCTGGCCGAGGCATCAGGCCTGGGTGGGGGGCGGAGCCGAGGATTGGGGGGATATGATGGTCCCCTTGCCCAGGCCTGAAGCCTGGGTCAGAGGCATCAGGCTTGGGCGGGGGGTGGAGCAAGCGATCAGAGGGAGATGGGGGTCCCCTGCCCAGGCATGATTCCTGGGCCAGAGGCCTCAGGCCTGGGCGGGGGTCAGAGCCAGTGATTGGGGGGAGATGGGGATCCCCTGTCTAAGCCTGACACCTCTGGCGGAGGCATCAGGCCTGGGCAAGGGGCAGAGCCAGCAATCGGAGGGGTCTGGGGGTCCCCTGCCCAGGCCTGATGCCTGGGCCAGAGGCATCAGGCCTGGGCTTGGGTCAGAACCAGTGATGGGGGGAAATGAGGGTCCCCTGCCCAGGCCTGACGCCTCTGACAGAGGCGTCAGGCCTGGGCAAGGGGCCGATCCTGAGATTGGAGGGTGATGGGGGTCAACGCCTGAGGGCTCCCAGTATGTGAGAGGGGGCAGGCTGGGCTGAGGGACACTCCCCTCCACACACACCCAGTGCACGAATTTCGTGCACCGGGCCCCTAGTCATTAATAAAATGACATATTAAGAGAAAATATGACATTAGAACACCAGGTTAAACTGATGAAAAAAGTGAACACAAAAAATAATATGAGTCTATAAATACTTTGTTTAAACCTTAACAATATTTATTTGGTAATTTTCCTTATGGATGAACTTTATGAAGGGAAAAAAAGCACATTTAAAACTGTGTGTTTATTTTTATTAGATGGGGATATAGCAAAAGTGATCTCTCCAAATGACTTTGTTTTTGCTTTCTGTCATACAATTTTAAGAAATCACTATGAGTTTTTGGTGATGATAATAAATAGAGAACAGTTTTTATAGTGGCCTCATTTTTTTTCTGAAGATGATCACTCTTAAGGTTAACTATGTAAAACCAGTTTTCCAGATTTAATAGGAAAAAATGCTATTACATTCATGATTTTCAAAAAAAAAAATTACTCTATTACTTCTTAAAAAGAATGTGGTTTTATTTATAAATCAATTATTAACATAGAAGTAGAATTAGGAACAGTTTTGGATAGTTAGAATTTGGGTGACATTTTGGCTTGTAATGTTGGCAATTTTATCATATTTTCTCACATCTTAGGAAATTATTGAGAGTCCTACTACTTTTTTTGATCTATGAAAACAAAGGTCTGCCTATTATTAGTTTCTTCCTACTGTAAAAAACAAAAAAAAAAAACCCAAAAAACAAAATAAACAACAAAAAATCACACATATTTTAAAACGTAATAAGCTCTTTATCAAAATAAGTGATATATCTTGTCAAGGGTAACTTAAAGAGTTACCATAGTAACAAAATGAAATGTGGTGTAAAAATAAATAGTTCATGTGTTAAGTATAAGTGTACTGGATTTATAGTTTAGAAGTCTTCTAAAAAACAAACACTCATTTACAGATGCAAAATATTTATACCACACTGAATACATCTATTCCTATTATGATGTGAAGATGTAGTAAAATAATCCAAGCAGATATTAGATATTCAAATGTTCTTTTGGGAAAAAATTGATTTGTATGCCTATATAATAAATTGTGTCTTCTAAAAATAGAGTTACTTATGCCTCAGATTAACTCTCAGTTATCATTAACCCTTGGGTAGTGTGTGTGCCTACCTTGAAATTCATCCTTACAGTGGCAGTTAAAGGTGCTGTGGAGATTAACACAAGTGTTTGCATTTGCATAGGCATCACTTGGGCACTCATCTACCTCATCTCATAGTTCTCACTTAGAAACAGCAAAGAATTCATTTAATCACAAATGTGTTACTGATGCAACCTACAACTAACTCTAAGAGTGTGTTTAGAACATGTGAGATTTTCAAATTGTCTGCAAAAAAATAAATAAAAATCAACACATTGACTGATGCTATCAACTAGATATTTACTCTTCTGTCTTAATTTTTATGTGACTGTAACTGTGGCTTTATTCTTATCTCAGTGAACCTAGAAGAATTAAAAAGTTCCATTATTTCCTTAAAATTAAACATACATGACTGTAATTAAGTCACGAAACTGAAAAGAGCAACAGTCACAGAAGAAATAAAAGAAGGCACTATTTAAAAATGTTTTTCTCTATTTAGTGGACTTGATGGTAAGAACTGAAGTGCTTTTCATTCTATTTACTGTGTTCAACGCTTAAATTTTAATAGTGTTACAGTGTTAAGGACATTTTGTGAAAATATCTCACCTCTCAGGAAACACTTGAATTTCCATGGATGAGCAAACACAACGTTAGTGTGAAGCTCATACAAATGACTAGTTCTGTGATTATCATTAGGTAAACTAAGATTTATAATTCTCAATTTTATAATAAAAAACAAAGAAGTTAGGTATCTTTAAACCTCAGTTTTTTTGTTAGACTATATATAAAGCATACTGTGAAATATTCACCCATGATTTATATAACGTTCTGTGAATTATTCAATAAACCCTTTTTACTGTTCTTTGAGGTTAATTTATAATCAGTACCTCTCCCTTTTTAAAAAAAAATCATAATTAAATGTGGTTTACTCTGGCAACTTATAGGCAGTAACTCTACTTTAGAATAAAATAATAGTACTTTTCCAACAAAAATAAATAATCATACAGCAACAGAAATATAGATTTAGTAAGGGAAAAATGAATACATGTAAAGGAAAATAAACTCCTTTATGAAAAGTTAAAAGCTGATGAATTGTGAAATACCCTTACCAGTCTCTGGCAAATAATAATAATTTAAAAAGCCCAAAGGTAGCATTGTTATTTGCCCAGTTATGAATACTTTGTATGCCAAAAGAGAGAATTTCCATTTATTAAAAAAATAGATTGATGTTTTTAACATTGAGAAAATGTTTTATTCACTGTCTGCACCTTTCTCTTATTATTTTAGATGCAAAGGCTTTTCAAAGAAAAACTTGAAATAAGGTTCTCTAAAATTACCTATTTTAGTGTGTTGTTTATGTATCTCCTGATCAAACCAGCAGGATAAAAATTACACAGAGTTTATTATCTTTACATCACTTCTGTAACCCCCATAACAACCGTACTGGAGGGACACTGTTCTTATTTCTATTCTATTTTATTTTATTTTATTTTATTTTTTTTAATATATTTTATTGATTTTTTACAGAGAGGAAGGGAGAGAGATAGAGAGTTAGAAACATCGATGAGAGAGAAACATCGATCAGCTGCCTCCTGCACACCCCCCACTGGGATGTGCCCACAACCCAGGTACATGCCC